ATTTATGTATTCTTCAAGTACATCATGACTTTCTAGCAGCAAGATATTTTTGATATAAGAAGACTTTAGAGCTCATATTTAAAAAAATTTAGTAGCTACAAATATGGAAGGTGATAAAAGACTTTGTATAATTATGTAATACTTGTTCAAGATCCAAAATTCCTCGCCATTGACCTTATGGGCTTATTCAACTGTTACCAATTCGAGAACAATCATGGTCTTCTATTTCTATAGATTTTATTATGAATCTTTCAATCTCGGATTCATATGATTCTATTGTAATCGTGGATCGCTTCATCAAAATGGCACATTTTGTACCATATATAAAATCTATTTCAAGTAAAAAAACAAGTAAGTTTTTTCTTAACAATATCTATCGCTATCATAGATTGTCAAAGGATATTATATCAGATAGAGGGACTCAATTTGTATCAAGATTTTAGAGAATTGTATTCAAGATTCTAAAGATAGATATAAAGCTTTCTTTGACTTTTCATCTTTAAATTAATGGACAAATAAGACAAATGTATCAAGTTGTGAAGGAGTATTTGAGGTGTACCATCAACTATTATAAAGATGATTGGACAACTCTTTTGCCATTGGCAGAGTTTATATACAATAATTTGGTACATTTTTCTACTCAACAAATACCTTGCTTTGTCAATTATAGTTATCATCCATTACTTAATACTCTTGACTTTTCAAAAGTTGATAATCCAATGGCATAAGATTTAGCAAATCATTTGTCAGAGCTACATGGAACAATGAAGATTCAATTAAAAGAAGCTCAAGAATGGCAAAAGACTAATGCGGATGCATATAGGAAGAAGCAACTACAATTCAATGTAGGTGACAAGCTATGCTTACTTTATCAAAATATCAAGACTACTCACCTTTGTGATAAGTTAGACTATCGTAGGCTAGGACCTTTTTCTATTTGTAAATAAATCAATCCTATTGCTTATCGATTACATCTACCGGAGTCTATGAAGATTTATCCTGTATTTCATATGTCCCTTCTCAAGCCATATAAGATAGTGAATATCTTGAGAAGAAGACAAATGCCACCTCTTCCTATAGAAGTGGATAATAATCAAGAATTTGATGTAGAAGAAGTCTTAGATTTAAAGGGGTATGGAAATAGATTGAAATATCTTGTTCATTGGCGTGGATATGATCTTAGCCAATACACATTGCACCCAACAAAGAATCTTGCAAATGCAACAAAGAAGGTTGAGGCCTTTCATTGACGACATCCATCAAAATCAAAATAAAAAATTGTAAAAATCCATAAAAGATGATGACCACTCCTTGTGGACTCGTCTCTAAGAAAGGAAGTAATGTCATGGATATATACATTTACTTCAATAGTTACTTATATGATTAGATAGAAGTAGGTAAATATAGATTAATTTCATAAAGTCTTCTAGAAAAGCTTCCTAGAAGCTTTATAGACGTGGTTTTGACTTTAGATGTGTTTATAGGTTAGAAACTTGGCCAACAAATTAACTCTGCATAATAGCTTATAGAACAACCTAACTATGGGGCACATTCATAGATAACTTGCCTTACAAGTTAAGACATGTGGTTAGCAAAGTCAACATATTTTGGAGGTCCTATAGGACATCGCCACATAGCTTCTAATTATAAGTATATAAAGAGGTAAGAGTGAAGCCTTCTTCACTTTTGTCAACCCCTTTTTAGTCCTTAGTCTTGTTTCAAGACTTTTTAGTCTTTTTATTTTTAGCAATAGCTATTCTAGTTAAATATTACATCACATCTTGAGTGACTTTGTAGTTTTCTCCTATGACACAAGATTGTATTGAGAATTTCCTTTCTTCAAGATTCATGTCCTTGACAATAGGTTTCAACCATCTAAATACAAAGTAATTTGAATTTCAATTCAAAAGTGCTTAAAGCCAATAAAAGTGCTCAAAAACACTCTTTTTAGCAACCCCAACTATATACAAATTCCAATTGCCTTATAACTTTCATAATTAGGTAATTTTGATTTATCCTTGCAAGCCCTCATTCTAGTTAGTGAGTTTTAGCAAGCTGTAACTCCTAATCTGACCATACACTTGGTACAAAATTTTGCTTACAAATGCCATTGTAAGTCTTCTATATGATTAAAAAAATTTAGTCCAATCGAACTTACAAATTGTAAAAAAAAACCCAAAAACTGCACTAATATCACTTGATTGCCAACTTGAAAGTTGATGCAAATGTTCTAATAGTGATTTCTCCTTATTCAATTATTAACTTCAATTAAAAATTAGTGTATAGCTTGATCTTGAAGTTTCCTACCTCCATGCCAAATTTCATCTTGATCCAATAAGTACATCTTTAGATATCATAGAAATCCTACCCAATTCCAAACTGCCAACTTCTTATACCCTCTTGTACCAAAATTCAAATATCTCTCAATTACACCATTAGATTAAAATAAAAATTTATATACACTTAGCACACCTAATTAACAAAGCATTATCAAATTTTGAACTATGGATGTGATACCAATTGCACAAACTAGCTAGGAGTGCTAACCCTAATTGTATTGCATTAATCCCGAATTATTGATACAAACCTTGATTTTGAATAATAATTGCAAAGTCATTTCAAATCCTATAAAAACAAGCCTCATCTTCCAAGGGTTTGCTACAAAAAGATAGCAACATGACACTAAAGTCATGGTGCATCTCCATACAAAGTTGCTACAGGGCACAAAGCAGCTGTGCAACCTTGGGCCGTAGTACGTCCCGACATACAGTTACGACACGGCACAGAGCCGTAGTGCAACCTTGGGTTGCTGCGCGACTGGATTCCAGTCTAGTTCTATGTTGTTTCAAAATATAGTTAGGACTTGTTGATGCAATTTTGGGGTTGTTTTTGAGATTGCTTTTAATTCAAATAATGTTGTTTTTATGGTTGTTTTCATAAGTGAAGCAAAGTTACAAACTCTAGCAAACTAATTTCTCTAGCGTCAATGGGCTAGGTTTGCTAGCAGAAATTGACTCATATTGCATTACGTTAGACTCATCTTCTGACGTCAATTCCTGCCTCCCTGTCTGTTCTGGATGGGTATCTTGCAGTGGTTCTTCTCTTTGTTTAAGTTTATTCATTTCCGATGTTTCCACTTCAGTCCGAGTCTTTGAAATTTAAGCGAATATTCTATTACATCGAGTGCTTCCTGTGCACTCTGGAGCATTCTCATTTATGTGTGTGTATATACCCGTCGCACCGAAACCATCATCACAACTATTCCAAGATTCAAAAATTTACTGTCCCAACCCCAAACTCAGCGACAGCGCGGAAACCGGTCATTATGCCCCCTTATCAGTACGGGAAGTGCCCGGTCATTCATGCCCGCAAACAATAGAATGCCATCGCACTAAATGGAGAAACTGATGAGGCCGTCAAGATCACCCTGTTTGATCACTGTCTTCAGGACCCGCCAACCACAATTCGTTTATGATCCACATTCATCTTCACCCGGATTTGATTTTTGTCGAAATTCTAGAAGCGTTCCAACCACGGTACAAGAATCTACGGTGTAAAAATCTCTCCAACTAGTTGTGGATTGACCAGTTCCTTTTCGGTTAAGTTTCAGATCAAGTCAAACGAGTTTGGTTCTTTGATTTGTTGGGGCATGATTAATTACAGTCGACTATCTGTACTGTCATTCTAATTGCAAGGACCTTTTCGGTTACATTGTGTCGAAGCTTGGGCTGAACTCCCTGACTTAAGTTCCAGGATCACTAAAAAATTCAATACTGCGTCCACACAACACACACATACAGTATCACGAGGAGTTTTGACTCCTGAAGCCAATGCAGCTTCAATTGGAATATCGTTGAACTGACTCCCGCTACTCTCGGCGTTCATCGGATGGTAGATGCTCTGAAGCGTTCCCTTCAGCTCTCACAAGGCAGACTGCGATAACTCATTGAAGCTATGGTTAGCGGCAAAATGAAAAGCTGTTTCGCGCTGTGATTGTCAGAAATTCGATAAAACTTTCAGCCTTGTAAATCCTCACAAATGACACAGTTCTCGATTTGAGGCAAGGAAGCTGTAGGAACTTCCAATGCGTGACGGACATGGCTTCGAATTGTATGCACGAAGGACTTCATCCCGAAATTGTCAAGACCGCTTGAGGCCGTCGCATCCAGCAACTTAGCCTCGCTGCTCTAGCACAGAGCTGATCGTATAATTGTCAGTTAGAATGTGAAGTCTCAGGATGCGAATGAGCTTAGCCAAACCCCTTTGATGGCTTGTTTAACTCAGCACCATTGTTTGTTGCACCTGATGTAAAACAATTTGAGGACTCTGTGTCAACATGAAAGTTTCTGCGTTGCGTAGGCAATCACTTACAACTAGAACCATGGGAACTGGTTAGGCACCCTGCGTTGCGCACACGGGAGGATATTCTACGTGTATATCTCCGAGAGACAGAAGACAACCAATTTGCGCGGATTTTCGCGTTGCATGACATCTTCAACGATAGTCAGAAATCTACGGATGATTGCGCGGAATTGCGCACGTCCTCGTATTTTGGCAAGGGATGCGTCTTACTTACCGAAAGAAGGCCGAAAGGGCAGGCTTACTCTTCAGAAGATGCCAACAAACCCCCCGCTCGAGAAGAATCTGGGGTATCTGTGAGATTTCGACGAAGGCTCAAGGTTTATTTACAGTAGAGCAGGGCGAGTGGAAATCGTGGGCGAGGGCGGAGTTGGTGGCCCGCCAGAATGCTTAAGTGGGGTTGGGCGTGCAAAAGGACGTGCTTCACATCGCGCCAACTGAGTTCGCAGCAATGATCTAACGATTGTTTCAGTGGCCATAGCCTACTACAGGCACGTGGAGGCCACCACGGCCATAGGACTGGAGAGTAGTGAACGCGGAGATGCATTGGGTAGGCAGTTTGGAGCATTTGTCTTCGGAGACTTTTTTGGTTTCTATTGCGTCATCGAAGGATTGAGGGGGGAAGGGAAGAGCGAGGGGAGGGGGAGGGGAGGGGAGGGGAGCGGAGGGGGCAGAGGAGGTGGAGAAGAGTATCCCCATGCATGATTGGGTGTTCGTCGCTGTCATTGTGTTTCCATCGACAGGATTATCATGCCGCAATTGATGAAGTTGTGGAAGCGGGCAGAAGCACGCCCTGGAGGAGAAGATTTTGACATATTGGTGTCGGAATGAAGATTTTCCTCGTCGCCATGGTCGTTGGGTGTTAACGATGAAACACCAGCAGCTGGAGGAAGGGCTTTGGTTATTGAATTGAAGGGATCGTTGAATAGTGGAGGTGCTACAGGTGTGGCAAATGAGAGGTTAGCGTTAGGGTTTTGCGGGTTCGTGGTTGAGTGCAGGTTGGATTGTGAAAGAGGTGGTTGTATAAGGGAAAATGATTGGTGCGATCAAGTCTCAGGGATGGTTTCTCGTGGTTCGGTTCTTCTTGAGAGAATGGTCTCCGGGAGTGTCATTGTAGAGGACCAGCAGGGAATGAGGAGCTACCGCGTGTTTTAGAAGCGAATGTTCTTTTTATTTCTTATATTATTTTGGCAAGCCGTTTTAAGGAGTAGGCTATGCTGCCCCATATTTGTTATTGAAGTTTCTTGATGAAGTGAACCTTTGTTGCTCATGAGAGATTTCTACTCACGAGTTTGTTTCGGAGGATTCATTTTAGGAGGTTCTTGACTTCCCTGTAGGTGCGGAATGCTTACCATATTGCTCGAAAGCGTTTGGGGTATGAAGTCTGGCAATTCATATAGGAAACGTCTTGGTTACACATCGGCTGGAGGATTTACAATGATTGCATCCGGTTCAAATTTATGATTCTTTTCTGTAGCAGCGGAAAGGAAGGGCTGAGGATGATGGCGAAAAATAAGGACTACGTATGGGTATAAGATTCAATCGTACATGGCATAGACTTTGAACTACAAATTTACGAGGACTAGATGCCGTGATTTTGCTTGAGGTGATGCACTCAGGGAAGGGAGGGCAGCGAATGGCAGATCATTCACGACACGGAAATCTCGAGCGTGACGTTGAACAGGTAGACTCTTTGAACATGCCTTTATTAATTCTTATCAGGTTCTTTTTGGCAGTTCTGTGTTTCTCATTCTTCGCATTATTTTCGTGCTAACAAACGGGAGGGCCTTGTTTGCGATCTTTTACCTGTCTTTTTGTACGGTTGATGTTTTGTAATATAGGTTATCTAGGCGCCTAGAAGTTTGTGTCAGGAGTGCTGCTATTGCAGGAACTTGCCGCTTTCTACTGCTAAGTCTTGTACTATTTTTAGGGAAATTTTGATGCGCGATATACATTAGGCATTTAAATTGGACTACACGAAATATTTGTCATTGATGTCTGGTAGTAATTGGATATCTCACGTTTTATTGACATGCATGAGCTAGTTTTGTAATCCTGACTAGCTTAAGGACAGTCGTTGCTCCTCCACAGCCCACAATGCGCAAAAATATTGAACGAAGGTCTGAAATCCAATGAATTCAAGAATATAACTGATCATTGATAATGACAGCAGAATCTGACTAGCTGATAGAACTTAATGTGGTCATATAAGTTGCTATCCGCCAAACGAAGTTGTCTGTTGTCTCGAAAACTTATCTATTCTAGATTTGGATTAGGTCGAACATCGTTCATTATCGCAGTCACTATGTTGTGAAGTTTATGTCTCTAACACTGATGTTCAGTCTGTCATCTTGATCATGGTGTGTCCGTGTTCGCATAGGTACCTACCATAGTTAGACGATATTGCGGATCATTACCGCTTCACGTCTCCTCTTAGGACTTCTCCTAACTCACAAATAATATATCTATGAAAGAGCTTGCCTGTTGAAACTTGTGTACAACGCTGTCTCATGTGCTGTAAATTTTGCACGAAGGCTATTATTGCATTGAAGAAAGGAGCCCAGCTTCTGAAGTACGGCCGACGCGGAAAACCCAAATTCTGCCCATTCAAACTTTCTAACGTAAGCGTTGGACTAACTTGCCTTCCACCCTAAACCTGGTGCCCAGCTTGGTGGTTTCTTGCCTATCGCAGTGTGGCCATCTTCTAGAAGTAGGCGTATTGTTTTGCTGCTCCTGTTTCTGTTTCAAGTGTCCGTTGTCATCATTCTTCTCCCTCACCAAATTTGAGTTGTTTGCGTGTGCTTCACCATCGTAGTCCCAGCCATTGGCACATTTCAGCACTGGAATATCTTACTCACGATGACATTACGCAGGATGAGAATGCACTGATATGGTACTCCGGGGGAGAGGAGAAGAAACTTTGGTTGAGTACTGTATCTAAAATATTATCCGGGCAGCGTACAGTAAGTGCCTTACCGGACCAATGTTACGCAGAATGTAGGTGCTGCTGAGCTGTGCATTGTGCGTTCTATTGTAATCAGAATGGTTCCTTGCGATCTGCTCATGAGCGGCTTCCGTTATCAAAGACTAGAGTAATGAGAAGCCATGCGTCGTTGATGAAGTTAACGCAGAGCGATTGTATACCAAGCTTCCCGTTTCTCTACGAGCTAAGAACTGACAGCTGTAGGTGATTATCGCAACAGCCAGTTTTTTTGCGTTATCCAAGGCCAGGAAAGGTGTGCCAGTCGTTTTCACTGATATACTCGAACGAGGAACGGTCGCTGGATTTGGTGAGTATTCTACCGCAGTTGATACATTGGGCATTCTGCAATTGGTCTGCAATTAGTCTGCAATAGGTCTGCAATTGGTCTGCATATAATGAACTGCCCGGAAAACCAGAGCAGTCCATGCCATCCACGCTGTTTGGAATGAGAAAGAAGTGATGAAAGAGAGGACGGGAAATTAAGTCCGTGCAACCGGCATGTGTTTGTTTCCAGATATGCAAGGATAAAGATGAGGCGGACGTGTGGTTCGTGGGTCTGAAGGCCTCTGTTGCTGGCGCTCAGTTGCGTAAGTCCAAGCTCAACAACATCAATCATGTAGGATCTACGAATGCTACCAATCATTCACTCAAGAGGAGCAGTTTATCTTTGACATCACGCTTTGGAAGTTTTGACAATTTACGCCGGGTACGTCTCGGAAACAAATGATTACCCTCAATTTCTTCATACAGTTCAGCTTGTGATATCGTGGTCATCATCAATGACATAAGGTTGCGTACTCTAGTTTTCCTATGTGTGTGCTTCTCATTTCCTTCGAAATCCATGCATTCGCTTTGCCAGGAAAGCGGAGACTTTTTCAAAACTTCGAGTTTCATAGGCAGCCCTTTGCGATCAGAGAAAGGATATCTTGGTGGATCACTATCTACAGTAGAAACAAAGAACAACTATGACGCGGGTTCTGTAGGAGGGTCGATGCATTCCGGGAGTTCATCGATGGGTTCCGACAGCGTGAGTGCACAGCTGAGGCTTGTCGGCGCGGGGCAATCTGACAATTACAGAATCAGCATGTCAAGTGCTGTGAGCTCGTCGAGCCAGAGCTCTCAGCATGGCGAGGACGGGTCACACCACGCTGAGGCGTTGGGTGATGTGTACATGTGGGGGGAGGGTGTAGGCGATGGCATTTTGGGGGGCGGTTCAGTGAGAATCGGCGCTGGTGGCGCTATGAACTTGGATGCTCCTCTGCCGAAGGCTTTGGAGTCTGCCATTGTTCTTGACGTGCAGTACGTTGCCTGCGGGGGAAAGCATGCGGCACTGGTGACGAAGCAGGGAGAGGTGTTCACGTGGGGGGAGGAGTCGGGCGGGCGGCTTGGGCATGGGGTGGATTGCGACGTGTCACATCCTCAGCTGGTGGAAGCTCTGGCATCGTCGACGACGGAAGTTGTGGCATGCGGGGAGTATCATGGTTGCGCGGTGACGCTGTCCGGGGATCTGTACACTTGGGGGGACGGGACGCACAGCCTGGGACTGCTGGGGCACGGCAACGACATCAGCCACTGGATACCGAAGCGAGTGAACGGGCCGTTGGAGGAGGTGCGAGTGGCGTCGATAGCATGTGGACCTTGGCACACCGCGGTGGTGACGACGGCGGGGCAGCTGTTCACGTTCGGGGATGGGACGTTCGGGGTGCTGGGACACAACGACAGGCAGAGCGCATACTCTCCGCGGGAGGTGGAGTCGCTGAAGGGATTGAGGACGGTGAGGGCGGCATGCGGAGTGTGGCACACCGCAGCGGTGGTGGAGGTGATGGTGGGAAGCTCGAGCGCGAGCAGCTGCTCATCCGGAAAGCTGTTCACGTGGGGGGACGGGGATAAGGGGCGATTGGGGCACGGCGACAAGGAACAGCGGCTGGTACCGACGTGCGTAGCGGCACTGGTGGATCACAACTTCCGGAAGGTGGCGTGCGGGCACAGCCTGACGGTGGCACTGACGACGAAGGGGGAGGTGTTCACGATGGGGAGTTCGATGTTCGGGCAGTTGGGGGATCCACAAGCGGATGGGAAGCTGCCAGGGATGGTGGAGGGGAGGCTGGTGGATGCGTATGTGGAAGACATAGCGTGCGGAGCACATCACGTGGCTTGTGTGACCCTGAAGTCGGAGGTGTACACATGGGGGAAGGGTGCGAACGGGCGACTGGGGCACGGGGACCAGGAAGACAGGAACACGCCGACGCTGGTGGAAGCGCTGAAGGAGAAGCAGGTGAAGAGCATCGCGTGCGGTGCAACGTTTACAGCTGCTGTATGCCTGCACAAGTGGTTGTCGGGAGCGGACCAGAATGCGTGCTCTGGGTGCCGGCAACCGTTTAGTTTCACTCGCAAGCGGCATAACTGCTACAACTGCGGGCTGGTTTTTTGCCACGCGTGCAGCTCGAAGAAGGCTCTGAAGGCGTCGTTGGCTCCGAATCCAGGGAAGCCGTATCGGGTATGCGATCCGTGCTGCGTGAAGCTTCGAAAGGCGAGCGAGGGCGGAGTAGGAGCCGGAGCGTCGTTGTCGAAGCGGGGTGCTCCGAGCCGGAATCGGGGGATGGAGGTGAAAGAAGGATCTGGCAAGGGGGAGTTCCGGGTACCTAGGCCTCAGGCGCCAAACGCAGGGAGGCCGCCGATCACATTGGAATTTGGAAAGGCGGGGGAGGGGAAGTTGGGGATGAAGCGGGGCAAGAAGCCGGAGAATTCATCAAGTCGAGTATCACCAGTCCCGAACGGGACGAGTGGCGGGTCGACGTGGGGTGCGGTGAGCGTTCCAGCGGGGTTTTCGAAACCTCCATTCCAACCAAGTCTGAACGGTCCGCTGGCGATATCGAGCTCGGTAGTGTCAGGTCGGGCGGTGTCAAGAGCAGTGTCACCCCTGTCGAGACGGACAAGCCCTCCTCGATCGACGACGCCGACTCCAACGGGGTCTGGGCTGGCGATACCCAAGACGGTGGTGGAGGATTTGAAGAAGACGAACGATACTTTGAGTTGCGAAAACATTCAACTGAGGTCGCATGTATGTTCTTGTACTGAGAAAGTTACCGGAAGTTCGTTTGGAATTTTGGAGTTGGATTACTTAAATTTTGGCAATATTTCTACTGAGAACCACTAGGTGGATACTCAAGTGGCACGCAGTCCCGCATATACCCCAGGAAAAAGTAAAAGTAACTAGTTTTGATTCTAAATGAGGTTTTTCCTTTTTTTTTAATTTTAATTTTAATTTTTATATTTGCCATTGATGAATGATGAAGAATAACAGTATTAAAACACTTATACAAAATTAATTTGACAAAGGTTTGTATTGATAAAATTGAAGGATGGGATAATATGTGAGCCTTAAAATACAGATGGATAAAAGTATATCAAATTTTGATATGAAATTGAAAGGGGTATCATTGAGGTGTCCATGAAGTAAAAGGAGGTTGTTCAGCTAACTGTTCCCTTTCTATTTTGCAAATGCAGTGTTAATTGAGAATCGGGTGGTGGCGTTGGATGTGATGATCGTGTATGTTAATTATATTTCCTCTTGTTTCAGATTGAGAGTTTATCCCGGGAGCTTCAGAGGCTTGATGGAGAGTTTCAGCGATCCGCACAGCAACTCCAGAATGCTGTTGTGATGGCTACGGAGGAGTCAGCCAAGTCTAGGGCTGCTAAAGAAGTAATCAAGTCTCTTACCACTCAGGTTTAATCCTCAACTTAAATTAGTTGATCAGTTGTAGATTTTTTTCTCTGAACTATTTATGCCACTCAGGTCAGACTATTGAAGTTGATAATCGAATTTGATTTGAACTGTACAAATTTTAAATTTTGACGGACGTTTTGGTTAATTATGAAGGGCATGGGTGTAGTATTCCACCCTAATTCTTTAGGTGATGGAGTAGGTAATTATATATTGGTGCATGTACCTGTTAATGGTGAAGACTCTCCGAGTTTCTGCTTTTTTCTTTACTTCAAATTTTCATGTTTATTTCATAGAGATCACGGGTAGAAGTGGTTCTGCAATTATTGAAGATAATGGAATCTGTAGCGAACCGTGTAGCATACGACACGTATATATCTCTAGACGGTTCTTGTAGCTGTCCTTTACGGCATTTTTCCTGATTTATATGGTGAAACATCGTCTCGTGGTCATTCTGTGAGTTTGTTCACTCCGTTGACATTCCATTGCTCAATTGAATTTCTTCGTGTATCGTCCTCTTAACGGTAGTGTTTGCACCTTGCAGCTGAAAGAGATGGCAGAGAGGTTGCCTCAAGGTGGTTTCAAACACGCTCGATCAGTGTCCTTATCTCTTGCCCGTCTCGGCGTAACAAATGACGCTGTAGATAATGCTGCCCTTGACTCACTGGGAACGCCATGCAATGAACGCCTGGGTTCGGTCTTTCAGCAATGCAGACCAAACATGTCAACCCTCAACATCCAAGATACTGAGGCAAATGGAATCGCCAATTCTCAGACACTCTCAGTACGGGCTTCTCAAAGACAGGACAACCTTCCATCTACCTCAGGTCCTTCCCCTCATACGGAGGCTGACATTAGTAGTACATTGGGCAGGATAGAAGGAAGTGAGCGAGTGGCAACTAGGCCAGCGGAAGATATGAATGGAGATGATATAGCACAGGGAATCGAGGAAGGGAACAGGACTTCAGCTTGTCCTGTGTTGGTTGGGAATGGAAGAGAGCCCGAGACAGAGTGGGTAGAGCAAGATGAACCTGGGGTGTACATCACATTGACAGCCCTCCCAGAAGGCGGTAAGGATTTGAGACGCGTGCGGTTCAGGTAGGGTTCCCTTGCGAAGAAATCTATGTGCACCTTGTTTGTTGTTTTAAGTAAATATTGTCCAGCAAGGTTTGGTGTTAAATTCAGAATCTGATTAGTTTGTATTTTGTCGTAGTTTAGTGCTCTGGGGTAGTCGGTGAAAATTTTGTGGATATGAATCTGTGTTAAGAATTATTTCGCCTTCGCGTTTATGGTGCAGTCGAAAACGGTTCAGTGAAAGGGAAGCTGAGCAGTGGTGGGCAGAGAATCGGGTGAGAGTACATGAACAATACCAAGTACGAGGCGGAATCGACAGAAGGAGCAACCTTAGTGAAACTCCTGGTTAAGCTGCCATGCGTGTTGGAAGCCGGCAAGAGGATTTCGGGAGGTCGATTCCTTTTTCTTCTAGGCCGGGTTCATACTGACACATCGGGGGTTTGGAGCATTTTAGTGTACAGGAAACATGGAGAAGAGGTATCTTTCAATGCTTTGTGAAAACTGTAATGGACTGTATTGTTACACTTAAAAAGTGGGAACACATTGTTACCTTCCTGTGAGGTGTAAGTCGTGGTTACCGGGCCAACTAGTTGCTTTGCCTTGCGATGGCAATACTTTGCAGCTGGTCTTGTATTTTTGTTGTTGAATTACTGAAGGGCAGTAAAACCTGCTTTGCAGTTTGCAGCGGCAACTTACTTGGAGCTTGTTCCGATTGCCTCTTCTTACCTGAAGCGCAATGTGGAGTATACCGTGGAAAGGGATGCCAATAGCACCTTGTGTAAGAAGAACGCTAGTTTTAAAAAAAGGCCACGATACAAATCTCTGGTTGAATTGTGACATTAAGCTGTGGGTTTTCTTGTTAATTCCATCGAAGCTTGGATGACACAGTAAAGGAACTTTCACTGCATCAGCATTTAATTCCGCTTCCTCAACGGGTCTTCCTTTCATCAGTGATTATGCACTGGTATTGAACAGGCTACTCCTATTAATTCTCAATTGTATCAGGGTGCATTGTATGCCCACACAGATGACATACATGGAGGATGCTCCCTGTTCCTGTCAACTGTGTTTTCAGGCATGATATAATAGCAAGATGTGGGAACAGCTTGTCTTATGTATCACGCCTCTCTCCATGTGTAGGTTGAACTCTTCTCTGTAGCTTAGTCTATTGATTAGATTTGGAATTTTATAGAGCAGCTTGTCAGGACTTGTATTATAGCTCTTCTACCATTACCTGGTGCTTGGTCTGTACCATATGTAATATAAATTTGTACCAATCATTTTGTAATCATCTCTCGGATATGTATTCAAGCAAATACAAGGGTTTACGTGGAGAATTTGGCTGCATATAAGTAATAGTTAGTCTGGGGAGTTTGTGATAAGAGCTTGCTACTAGACGATATTTGAGGTGGGTAATCTCGTAATTGTAACTAAGCCTGTTTCTCAAAATAGGAAGTTCATTTACAAGTGCATGAATATTGTTGGTTAACGAAGTTTTGAATTTGACCTGTGGCAATGTTTCTAGACTATAGCTGGTTGGGGTTTCTTTTTCTGTAAATTCATAGCTTTAAGGATTATTGGCACCCAGTAAGGAGATTTTAGTAAATGGTTAGGTTGATGTCAAGCAAGGACGTTTAGTTAATTTAATTTAAGTTAGAAAATTAACTGATGAAGTTGTGTGGAAAGTAGTATGACCTCACAAGCATGTTTAGGTTGAACTTTAAATTGCTCAAAATTATGTTACTTTTGAAACTATGTCAAGAAATCTCAAGGAAGAGTTGAAGTAAAAATTATTCAGTGGCACCTTCATGGTCATCATAAAAAGAAATCAGAAATAGAATAAGATGATGGATCCTGATTCTCACATAGAGAAGCTTCATTGGAACTCTCTAACTTATGAAGGATTGAAAGCATAAATATTATTCACAATATTACTATCAAAAGTAGAGAAGAAATATCAAACAACTGAAGGGAGTTCCATGCAAACCATGTCTCCTCTAATTCATGCATGTTAAAGTGGCCTTGCCCTTTCAGAGTTGCAAGTCAGCAGGTCCAGTTTTCAAACCGAAGCTCCATCCATCATGTACATGAGCCTACCCTCATTCGAAGACAACACATCTAATTTCAAAGGCAATAAGTAAGTTGTTTTGTTGATAGTATGGTTGGAGCCATATCTTAAGTTTCTAGATGAATTTTTAGCCCAAAATTTTAAAAAATATGTGCTATTCGGTTAAAAAGCTATATATCAAAATTTTAAGGTATTTGAGTACTTAATTTGTGAGATATGAATAAAATTACACATAGGTGTATATAAACATGGATTTGACACTACTATTAGGATTTTGGTGATATTTCAAGATCCATAACGAATTTATAGTTGAAATTTGTTGTGGTAGTTGTTAAAAACACATCATTACTTCATGTAAAATTTTGGTTTTTTTGGACGGTCCAATCATGAAATATGAGTTGTTGAAGTTTGGGAAAAATTCACCTTAAGGATATACAAGGATTTATAATATTTTTATCACATTTTTGGTGATCTTTGGTACTTAAGGCTTGTGTATTGATATAATTGCCTCTATAGGAATAATTTTATATATAAACTTAGTATTTTTTTTAATCTTGAGGCTTGATTAAGCAATTATTGACAGCCAAAAGCTCAATGTTTACTTAAGGCAAATTCTCTTTACCTCAATAACGTGTTGGTAGCTTGTAAAGTAAGCTAATTATATGGAATATATATAGAAAATTTACCTTATAAATTAAGATATATGTCTTGTAAAGTCAACACATATTAGAGGTCCTATAGAACATTGCCAGATAGCTCCTAGTTAGATAGTATATATGGAAGTAAGAATGAAGCCTTCTTCACTCTTGTCAATGCCTTTTTAGTCTTTAGGCTTGTTTCAAGATTTTTTTAGTCTTCTCGTCTTTGGCAATAGCCATTCTAATTCAATATATTACCATTTTTGAGTGAATTTTTAATCTTTTTGAGTAACATAAGAATGTATTGAATTTTCTTTCTTTGAGATACATGTCCTTGATAAGTCAATTGTTTAATTAATATGTAACACATATAATAATCTTTGTAACCTAGTAAGATGACAATCACTAATTTCTTTCATGTTAATTACCAAATATTAGAATAAATAATATTGCAAAGAATCAATTAAAAACTTATAATTATATATACAAAGTATTTTAGGTAGCTTTGGATTCAAATTAAAATTTCAATAGTGGAAAGATCAACATACCATCATTGTATCAATGTATATAGAAGATAATCTATAGACTTGATAATTTCAATCTTATCACTTCAAACACCATCTTCTTTGAGGGTTACCTAAGAGCCCATGTCAAATTTCTTAGGTATAGGGTATCTCTAGATATCTTTGTCATTGTAGGCAATATCTAACTATATGTTATTTCTTGGAATCATATTTTTACTTTCTATGCAATTTAAACATGAAAATCTTCACTTTGATAAACAATTAAATACAAAACCTTGTAAGCAAATGAAAGAAAGTATTACAATATTCTCTTGGTAGCAATCTCCTATAAATGAAAAACATCATACAAAACACAAGAACATTTTTGCATCAAAACCAAATACCTTGGTTGAATTAAAGACCGAATTAGAATAGATTGATGATTTAGATAGTCCTACTTATCTAGGGATGAAAATTGATGAGAAGCAAGGTCTTGGTAGTAAGACTAGGTGAATAAATTCTCTTATTTGTACATTACATTTGACAAATCTTTTTTTCTTGCAAACAATTCATGATTTATCTAATCAAATGTAGAATAGCTTGACAAATATTAGGCATGTTGAGTTGTAATACTAACTTATGCCCATTGACAAAGTTCTTTCTAAAAGAAGCATCTAAAATTATCGTCTTGAAATAAAATCTACAATAGAATTTGAATGTCTTAAATTTGGTTTGTTTAAGTGACTCAAATGTGTAAAAGCTCATTTTTTATTAAATTAAAATTGATATAGAATCTTATCCAATGTGATTAATTACAATAGAAATGCCTACATTAGCATAAGAATCATGCACATAAATTAGTATATTATATTATTTGATTATATTTGGAATAAATAACTAGATGCTAATATATTAGACTTGATCACACTAATAATCTCATCTAAATAGTGGAGAAGCTTATGGGAGTTGGAAGCCAAACTTTTAGATCAAAACCTTGCTTATTTGAAAGATTGGAGACAATGGACAAAGTTTCAAAAAATAGCCACTCTTGTCATAATTGAGCATTACATTCCATTTGCCTTACTTAGTACCTAAAAATTTAGATGCCCATCCTTCCTTAATCACCGTTCTTCTAAACAATCTTTGAGGTTACTAGCAAGCTTTGTAAACTAAGATTTATGTGAGTCTTTGTAATAGATGCCAACACCTCTTCCACTCTTCATAGTATCAGAACTTCTTCTTCAAAATCGCTTGCAAAATTCTGTTGTAATGCTAGAAAATCCTAATTTCTATTATAGGCCATACTAAAAACAAGAATATAGCCAAAAGAGGAAAGGTGGCACAGTTTGTGGAGGGATATGTGCCACACATTTAGTGGCTAGGATCACATGCAATGCACATATGAGTAGTTCACAAATCCTTCAAACTTGAGGTCTTTAGTTAAACAAAATATTTTCTAATGTTGAAATGTTATTGATCTTTGTAGGGCATATACATGAAAAGAAGAATTGGAGATCAATCTTGGAAATTGTTGCAAAGGCTTATATATATCTGTTGTAGGTTTGGAAGCTAATTGTAATTAAGTTAGATTTTTTTTTATTGTAAATTGATCATTAAATGTTGTGGCTTTATTCTTACATTGAATATAAGTACAATAAACACATGTTTGGAAGCTTGCAAGCAACAAAGGTCAAAATTAGTAATAGCATTTGCCTATTTAAATTTATGTTTATTATTAGATATTTTGATATGCCATTGATTATTAACCTTAAATATTTGGCTATATAATTCAAATTCTTAACTAATTAAGTGCATAACTTTGTTTCAAAGTTGTAATATGCCTATTGCCTCAAGTTTGTTTTAAGAGTCATACAATTGCATATAATCACATTATAAGGTCAACATATTAGCATTTGATTGACTCCTCACAAATGAATATAATTATACACATGTGATAGAACATTAGAATTGGTTTCATTTGAAAATAGAATACATATTCATTCTTTCTAGTCAAATACTGTAGAAAAAGCTTCTAATTGATAGTATATAATAAATCAATTTATTCCAATTTTAACAAGTTGGTCATGATTTGTAAGAAGTGAATGAAATATTTGAGTGATATTGATATTAGCTTAAATTTGACAATACAAAGTATAAGACAATATTTAAGTTTGACAACAAAGTGGACATATTCCACTGTTGTATTGTTTATATTACCATATATAAGTTTTGGTTTTTCAATGGTCTACATCAAACGAACCGTTCTGACCTATTTTGACACAACCTTCCATTTGAAACTTCTTTCTCGTCAAATTCTTCATCCTTGTCTAGTACTACAACATGGGATTTTTATCTTCTTCCCAATGCATCCACTATCTTATACTGCTCAAAAAGAAAGATAAAAAAATAATAATCAGTTCTATGCTTTGTCAAGTTATAGAGCTGTAAATACAACTTATAGAATACAACTTATAGAGGGAGGAATTGTATCTCATTGAGAATGGAGTAATCTAAGAAATATGTCCATCAAGTTGATAATCCACAAGAGAAAACAGGACAGAAATGGGAGACTTGTTTGATGATGGCAGCTTTACTGTACAGATTGGACGGACATTTCTCACACGTTACTTCGATTTTTAGACTATTATTCATATTATTCATATGAAGTAACTATTGTAAGTTCAACTACAAGCTTCTTCATTCGAGGATGTCATGTTAGAAACAGTTTACAATTTGTTGATCAGGCCAAAAGCATCATTGTCTCTGGACGGCTACCACAAGAGCTACTTCGTATGACTCGTACATATGATGAAATTGAGGCTATGATGCATTTTACCAACATCATTTTTGTACTCTAATCTGCATTGAAGAGTGACTACTACGTCGCTCATTTCCCTTCTCATACAAATATTTCTCCTTTGTTTACTCTTAAAGCAGATATCAGTTGTTGAACAATGAATAATAACAAGATAGTCCACCCAATACAACATTTCATTGCGTTCAAAACATCGGCACTTCCTTTACAACTGAATTCCCTCTTCAGCTGGTTGTAGAGTAGTCATTTGTTTCACCTTCATGTCTCCTTTCAAGTCTGTTTAGTTGGTTGA